CCCCACCCAGCCCCACCCTCCCCACCCAGCCCCTCCCCACCCTCCCCTCCCCACCCGTCCCCTCCCTCCCCACACAGCCCCTCCCTGCACGACGGACGGACGGACACAATAATCCCCTGTGGGCTGGTGTAACCAGGAGGTTCCTACCAGTAAAACTACGCTTACACCGTGCACGATATCATTGCACTGGCTGTGGGTGGCTAATTGCTCGGGATGGACACGCGACGCTGTACTGCGTGCATTGCAAGAGAGGCGCATCGATTTGCGACGCTTTTAAAGTGAAAATCCAAAGGCTCCCTGACATCTTCTTGGTTCTTTCGGTAAAGTCACGTAGAATGGAAATAATAAAATAATAAAAATAAAACATAATAAAATAATTCTCACGACGTTTCGGCCACAACGCAAGCAGCTGTTCTCAGGTGAAGAACAGGTCTGTCGGGAAGACAGCGTCCCTTCTACGTGACTTACCGAAAGAACCAAGAAGATGAATCCCTGCAGTCACGAAAGCTTTAAATCCAAAGGCTCCCTGCCATTTTTTTTATTCTATCAACGGTAAGCCAGAGTCACAGTGACGCGGAACGGCTTACTCATCGAGTAATAATGTCGCGGGAGTCGAGAGGATTTTCACCTGAGCAGCATTGCAGGTTGGTGAGAATATGTTGCGATGAAATCAAACGTCGCACGTGCGCGCACTCGCCAGCGAATTGCGCACACCAGCTGCGGTAACCTTGGACGGTGCGATCTTCATCTTGACGATTCAAAGGTTCGTAATTACAAACACATCCTTCTGCACCTCAGTCACCCAGTGAGTCAGATATCCGACGACGTCCTGTAACACCGGGCAGCGGAGGATACAGACGTTGCTAATAGGTGGCTCAAAGGCGAGGGCACTGCTGAATTACTCGAACCCAAATATAACACTAAACGCACGCACGTACCGCTGATTATGTACAAACCCCCGGCTGTTACTGCTTCGCAGTGGATGGTAAAGATGCCGTGTTATTTTCGGAAAGGAGTAGATCGTGTCTAACAGAGTGGTTGTCAATTTTAGAGAGAGAGGGAAAAAGTAACTTACTCACAAATGACTAATGACCTCCTGTCAGACTAATTCCCACTTGCATACCGATGCTGCGGCTCGTGCTGAACATGGACAGCTGCTGCCAGTTGTCCCCGAGGCTAAAGCAACCAACATTAGGCACTTGGAATGATTAAGATGAGAAGTGCCATTGGGCGCCTTGAAATGCTTTGGGGCTTTCAACTGCACAATGGCAAACCCTAATTCCCCGATTAAGACCAGCGGAACGTTTTCGCCCGATTTGTGCGCGGCCAAGTCTAATTATGGTCTCATGAGAAATGCCGCTTATTTGTTTATTCATTTTGAATGGGGAAAATTGATTTTACGAATATTTTTTGTAATATCCGACATCACTAAATACAGGAAAAAAACATGAAAAGGTCTTACTTATTTTGAGAAAATAACAATCGTGTTACACATTGACATGTTTTTTTTTTTGCAATAACATCGTCAAAAAAATTCAAATCAAAAGTAACGATACGATATAATCAGCGAGTCACAGTATCTACACACAGAGAGTTACTAAAGATTGCGCTCTCAAAGCTCAGCGTGAGCGACCTAAAATGAACAACAGGCCGCGGCAAATCTCTCAAGCACAGACCACGGGACCCATGCCCTCTCGCTCGTAACGACAAGCAGCTGCAGCGGTGCTGATTAATAATCGCCGCTTAAACCGCGCGCTTAATATAAATGGCCAGTGGTCGCGCAGTGGTTTCGGACAGCCGGACATCCCCGTTCACCATCGCGTGGTTCGTTGAGCACTTGCCATCGGTGAGAGTACCATCGGTACGTTTCAACATTCTTGAGGTGTGCAAGCCAGACTCTCCTATCCCCAACCACCAACACCACCACCACCACCAGACCCCTATCACGAATCAAATGTATGTGGTTCTAGATTTGAAGCTTTCGTGACTGCAAGGATTCATACTCTAAGTTTTTTTTCGGTAAAGTTACGTAGGTAGAAATTAAGTGAGAATTATTTAATTATGTTTTATTTTTATTATTTTTTTTATTTCTCTTCTACGTGACTTTACCGAAATAACCAAGAAGATGAATCCCTGCAGTCACGAAAGCTTTACATCGAAATAGAAATAAATAATAAAAAATATAGAAATATTAATAGAAATAAAATAATAAATCACGACGTTTCGGAGGCAACACAAGTCTCCGTCATCAGGTGTGGACCGTCACAGCTAAATTTACTGTATGTATCAAGTGATACATTGACTTTACCGAAAAAAAACCTAATCAAATCTCTGTGGTGTTTAATACATAGGCTGAACTATTGTTTTGTACTTGCAATATTCTTACACGAGCTACGAACCAGTGAAGCTAGAACACGGCTGCTAATCCGCTGCTGCTGTTGTTGTCATCATTGTTCGTTGTGTGCAAAGATGCCACTGCCGAAGGTCTCCACGTGCTGTGTTCGCGGTGGGGTTAGGCACGATGCGTGAGTGGCATTTCCTCTGCCTAGTTATCTCTACCGCATTGGTTTCACTTGCAGCTTGATGTTTTTGAAGGAAGGTGGTTGCCCGTTGAGACTTTAATTGTGTTCGAGGTTGGCTCTCTGTCTCCAATCTTGGAGCGACGTGCGCTCTCGAGCTGAGACACGCCGTGGCCAACGCTTGAACGCCGAATCCAGCGCTAATGATGAGCCCCCCTCCTCCCCCCCGCGGCTTCCCGTGTCAAACGTCGCGCAGTGAGGCTGCGTCGGCTTGTCTCAAGCTTATATGCGGCGGAGACGCCAGATGTATGCACAATCACATTGTACCATTTTATTTTTGTAATAGTCGTCCCTTATATTCGGTGGAGGGGTGGTATGAATTTTGGCTGTATGTATGCTGAACTTCTCTCGCACTGTACGCAGTCAACCGTCCTAATTGGTGGTGCGGGGGGGGAGGGGGTGAACAAACGAAACGCAAAATGCAGTGTTAAAGAAACGAGTTTGTCAATCTGCACGACGACGATGATGACGATGATGATTTTAAAGTGCACGGCTCCCAGTGGGCTTCCTAATATCGGAAGGGAAGAACGTCCCAGACGGCCGCAGAAGCGCATCTGAAAGCGACGATGCGATGACCGCCGCCGTCTGTTCGATGGCGAGCAGCCAGAAGCCGATGCCGCTGCTGCTGCTGCTGGGAAAAACGATCGGAGAAGATTCCTGACCACGTGAACTCCAGCGGTGATTCCCCGAACTGGTCCTGAATCGTGGTCAAGCAAACCTCGTGACTGTCATGGCCACGTGGAGGCTTTCATCCAACATTAGATTGTCAAATGCCCCTATTTTTAAATCCTTTATATTAACTTCACTTGCTTGCGCGCTTACGACCGTGCAAATTTTTCGGTCGTTTTTTAACCCACTTCCCGTGATCCAATCGAGCTGATATTTTGCACACAGACTCGTTGTGCGTGACAATGTATTTTCGTGAATTTTTTTCCCTAAATTTTACACTTTTTAGGAAAAAATAAATTATATTTAATTACCAATTGCTTAATGGTGCCAGGCATCCATCTGACCCATAGGTGGCAGCCATCTCAAGCCAGAGGACGAGAGGACTCTAGCCGCCACGCATATAAAGGATTTATAGTGAAAAACTTTGTTTTTACGGGTTAATTTTTTTCGATTTAAAGCTTTCGTGACTGCAGGGATTCATATTCCCGGTTCTTTCGGTAAAGTCACGTCGAACATTATTTTATTATTTCCCTTCGACGTGACTCTACCGAAAGAATCAATAATATAAATGTCCCTACGTTATTTTTAATATTGTGACAGTAAAAGCCGAATATAAGCAGTTTCCCTTGAGCGTCTGTCCGAGTTGTGTGCTTGTATCAAAAGCTCCCCTGGCCCCACCAACCAGTGTGCTATAAACGCGTGCGGCATGGAGGTGTGTCGCGTACATCAGAATCGCCCCTTGCATCTGCACGGCGTGCTACGAATCCAGCCTCTGCCGCACGAGGCTTTTGGGGGGGTGGGGGAGGGGGGGCCACGTTAAAGCTGTCGACGCGACCTCCGGCGTCACGTGACGGGGGACTGGTATAATACCCATTACGGGGGGGGGGTGGTATAATACCCATTACGGGGGGGGTTTGATTATTCCCAGCTGATCAGGTCACCCGCTGCCGCCGCCCCCGCCTAACTCTACCCCCCTCCCCCCGCCTCCTCCCCCCCCCCCGACTTCAAGGCAACATTTTCCTGACCGCTTAACACCCCCCCACCTCCACGCTCGCAAACTTCGCGATATAACGAAGCACCCCGCAATGCGCGCCGCCTGCTTCTTCCTGCGCAGCTCCTCACCCCCAACTCACCCCCCGTCTCTCTCACCACCTCCCCTCGTCTCCTCCGCGGTGTTTACTTTCATCACGAAGGAGCGAGCGAGCGAGTGAGCGAGCAGAGAGCGCTAAAGCCGGTGGGATTTGCACATCTCTAATCCGCTAATGACAACCGTGGCGCGGGGGGGGGGGAGGAAATATTTGCATGCAAGCGGCGTGCGATAATTGTTCAGCTTAAACGTGTCCAAGAAGAAAGAGACGATGACAACAACAACAACACAAATCACAAAGCGCTCCTTTTGAAAGTTTGTGCCATCCGCTGCGTGTAGGGATCACAGCGTGAGCTGCCCATCAATCTTCGCTGCGTGGACGGGTATCCTGTGATGAGCAGCAGACTTTTGTCAACCAACTTCTGAACGGTGGCTTGCCCTTGGCCTTTTTGTTTGTTTAGTTTGGCCACTGCCAGGGATTGACGGCACTTGAACCACCGGTGAAGGTCGGGACGGCCGTGGAAGTCCAATGAGATATCGCGAGCCACTGGTGTCACAGCCCTGGCCACAAAATCGGATTCAGGCGGTCAGATTCATAGGCCCCAGGCACTGCCGCCAATCACCAGCTTGCCTCCATTCTGAATAAGACGTCAAGAAATCAACAATGCATTTTCTTTCCGGTACGGTTTAATTGAAAAAAAAAAACTCATTCATTTAGAACGTAAACTGTTAACTATTACAATGGTAAATTCTCAAGTGGCAAAACAAAGGTCACAAAATAAATGTCGAAAAAGAAATGCTTCGCAAACGAATGAATGATGCTCGTTACGTATGCACATCATCCTTCTCCTGTGCCACAATGTAAATGAATTAATGATATTCAAAGTCATCATTAGACCTCCTTTGCCAGTACCAAAATATAATAATCGGGGATTTCCCCCTTTTTTATGGCAACAAAACTGAAACCTTTTAACGAGGATTCATGTCTGCATTAACCACAATACTTGCAGTCGAGCACCAATTGGGTCGAGGCTCAAAAGAAAGCCGTCCCTTGGTGTACCAATCAGTTTCAAGGACAATGCATATATTATCATAGTGTGTTTTTTGTTTGCATTTTGACTGCAAGTATTGTGGTTCATGCAGACATGAATCCTCGTAAAAAGGTTTCAGTTTTGTTGCCGGAAAAAAGGGGAAAACCCCGATTATGATATTCACAGTGTGCACGGCAAAGGGATGGACTTATTTGTGACACCGTTGGCATTGCCTTCGAATGGACGCGTAGTGGCAGTGCATTGCAAAATGTTTATTGCAATTCATCGTTCCCTTAGGCGGAGTTAACTGCGGTGGTGTGTGGAAGATTAACTGTATACATCTGCCCTCTGCAGGATTCACTCGGCAAAGCCCACGGATTTAGTTCAATTCATCGGTGGGGAAAAATCGGCTTCCTCTCTCTCATCAACATACAAACATTTCATAACTCCTGTCTGGATGTTGTTGCCAGTGTGATGTGAGTCCTATAAATAAATAGGTCACTTATTTTCACAAATCTGGACCTGAAAAAGAGTTTTTCAGCCCACATTCTAGTTGACACATCAACATTGTCCTAACTGGGTCATCGTGGTCACAGAAACGCAGACGTCCGAGAAGTTTGTGTTTAGCGTTGTGTGTTTGCGGTGGCTCCGATGTCCGATATTTTGGCCCAGCTGCCGGGAGCGTCTTCAGAAACGCTACAACTTCAGCGTTGCATTTCAGTTCCCGACGAAGCTCCCAACACGTTGGTGCGAAACGTCGGACGTCGTGCCGAACAACACGCGCGCACGACCCCAGAAGCGCATCGGAGAGGCATTTCCAATGTCGTGCTTAGATCACGTGCAGGCTTGATGAGCAGTTGTCTCGAGGTAGCGAGGAACCAATGTAACCGACATCACTTCATTTACTCACTCATTGGCCGTTTATGTTTAGAACGATCTGTTCGTGGAGATAAGAGGTTTCGGAGAGCGTTACATCACAACCGCGGAAAAACCTACGCCGTAGTATTACAAATCTACGCAGTGGTATTTGAACACAGGTGAAACAGAATCAACAACTTCTGTTTTACACTTTCGGCCTCGTAACATCGATCTTCAAAAATCTCCAAAATAGAGACAGCCGAATCACAAATTCCCCACTATGTGTTGGTACAGCTGAGAACACTCAAACCTCATTCCTTTAGAACTGCTTTTTGCGTTTAGTTTGTTGTCCTTCCCCCGCACCGACGATTAGCATAGTTGGCTACGTACGGTGCGAAAGAAGTTCAACATACGTACGTACTTTAAAAAAATATACGAAAATCAGTTTGTTCATTCGCCCCCCTCCCCCCCCCCCCTTTCAATTCTATCCCGATTGTGCTATCGGCATCGCGTCGCGAGATGAAAAACCCATTAAAATCTCTCGCAGCGCGGTGCAACTACGACGCCGCGTCAGATTGGGCCCGCGGAAGTGGATATCACAGAGTTACCACAGATCCCTGCCCAGTAGAGAGCGGCACATTCCTACGCACTCCCTCTCTCTCTCTCTCTCGTGACAATCCAACCAATATTGTAATGATCAGAGCGGGAAGTTTAGCCAAATAAAGTGTGAGAGAAAAATCCCCCCAAATTCGTTGCAACAATTGTTGCAACGAATTTGGGGCTTCACGGCCCGGCTTAATCGGCGGTGCCAGCTTCAGTGCTCTTGAGCTCTGAAGCGACACAGCCGGGCCTCTCGCTTGCACCCGCGGCTAACCGAGGACACACGGAAGGGCGGTCCGAGGCCTGGCTGGTGCGCTGTGGACGGGCGTCCGGCTGACGAGTGTCGCAGGATCAACCCAACGGGGGGGGGGGGGGGGGGCCTCATAGTTCGTCCTTGTCCTCGCCCTCGCAATAGCACGAGGCTCGCTGGCTGTTGAGGAAGGACTTGCAGCCGAAGCTCGTCACCGTCTTGTACAGGAACTCGGCACCCGTCTCGCAGGCTGAGGGGCAGACATGGGAAGAAGGGAAACACGAAACAAGCCAGCCTCGTGTAAGACAAAATCGCACCCACCCCCCGCCCATTGGCAAGCATTGGCAAGCAATCTCAGGGCTGCCGCCCTTGAATTAGCCAAGCAAGTCGTGAAATTGTTTGATTCAGTATGCAACTGTCCATTGAATCTCCAATATACTCAACAGTCAGAGACTGGTCAATTCTAGCCGATGGAAGAAAATGAGAACACACAGAGACACAAAGATCCCCCGTATAGCCTTAACAGACTGTAGGGGTAAGTGCTGTTAGCGAGCACCTATGAAGGCCGGAACGGTACACGAGGGGGTGGGTGGCCAGCACCACGCCCGGCCGCTTTTGTCTCTCCAGTGGTGATGTTTACACACAGCACCAGTTACTCATTTGAGGCTGAGTCGACCTAGGAGAGGTCCAGGACCGATTCAGATCATCGTTCGAACTGGGGTCGCCGAGATCGTAGCGCGGCGTAGCGCTAAACGCTCCACTATCGCTCCCCCCCCCACCCCCCCGCACACACACGCCGCAAGCAACAGCGGTGTGATGAAATATAATATGACACCATCATCATTATCATCGTCAACATCGGCACATTTCTGCTCGTTGCATTGGCAGGCTGTGACCTTTGCTCGCTTGTTGTCCTGATACCGGCGTTCGTCATTCTACCGCAGGTGCAATCAACGTGATCTCACTGCTCCTCCTCATCTTCTTCTTGTTGTTCGTACGTCCGTTCACTCGCTTGATTGACATTCTGTCATTATGTTTATCCGATTGGTGTCCCTTCCATTTGCAGCAAAGTCGCGCACCATTTCTTTGCTTTTATCTCACGGATGGCTCTGATTCTGCGATGTCCCTGATTCTTGTTTGCCCTCTAATCCACATCTATTCGTGGCTGCACATCAGGCAGTTTGACTGTGATATATCTATCACAGCCCTGATGGTAAAACATTAACTTTGTAACTTCACTCCACAAAATAACTTAGTGGTGCATCACTGTCACATAATCGTGTATCTCAAAATGCAAGTATCATCGTGACTCGTGTAGACGCTACTTTTATAAGTATTATGAAAAGTCATGATTAATATGCCATTGTTATCAATGTTATTATCAAGCCAGATGGCTTAGTGGTATAATACGCTGCTCACAATCAAAAGTCTGCGAGTTAAATTCACCCATCCAGGGTTCACCAGACCGCGCATCTCTCTGAAAGTTGTTACATTTGAGTTTCACTTCACGAGGAAGTCATGGGTCGTTGTCCTTTGGATATGGTTTGCTCCCTCCATAGGAACGTGGAGTTTCCATCACTGGCTCATGGGTTCATTTGAGAAATGAACATTGCCCCATGCTCAAATGAATGAGAAACCACTCTAACTTGTCTTTAATGATTGAGGTAGCAATGTGTTGTTTAGCTTGCATTTAATAATAATAGCAATTATGTTTTAATTACTATACTGTACAGCCCCGTGGGTGGGGTCCGTGGACCGGTTCTGCGATCGTTCTCCACTGAAGTTTGCCGTGACAGGGAGTCGAACTTGGATGGCCCGTTTTAGAGCGCAGTGCGTGCGTGTGTGTGTGAACCACTGCGTGCCAAACCAACCAACCAACCACCAACGCCTGAGCGTGAAATTGTAGTCGTTGCTCTACATCTACATCGGCCGTACGAAAGAGAGAAGATGATGAAGGTGTTCATCTTCTTGGTTCTTTCGGTAAAGTCACGTAGAAGGGAAATAATAAAATAATAAAAATAAAACATAATAAAATCATTCTCACGACGTTTCGGCCACAACGCAAGCAGCCGTCCTCAGGTGAAGAACAGGTCTGTCGGAAAGACAGTGTATGATGAAGGTGTTTACCTGCGCACCAATTGCCCTCCGCCAAACGGCGCAAGAAACAAAGTAAATAAATTTCACGCAGCAACAACAAAAAACAACGACGACGACCAAAATCCGGCTCTTGCGGGCGAACGCACCGTCGATTTTGGAGATAAATCCGAGGGTCTTGCGCAGGTCCGTGCAGATGGAGGAGAGACAGATGCGGAAGCGAGCGTCGCACACGTTCTTGCTGGCCCCGCAAGACTCGTAGCAGATGTCCAGCTGATTGCAGCACTTGGTCATGGACGGGATGCCAAGGTCCAGCTGCAAGACGACGCATTTGGTGGTGGGGGTTGGGGAAGATCAGCCGGCGCTTGACATCGGAGCCTGCGTGGGCGCTGAACAATTCGCTCGTCAGGGGGGCAATTTTCTAATGGGGGCTGGTAGGGGTGTGGTGTGTGGGGTGTGGGGGTGTTTGCCGTCGCTTTATTACGAAGCAAATATCAAATTCCTGAAAATCGCTTTGTTGCACCGCAAATGCTACTTCCTGTGCCTTCGGCGTTCGACAATGCCGGTAATTCCTGACAACGGCTCCGCACCTGACATGGTCTGGGGCCCAGCCCTCCGTCCCCTCTCGTGCCGACGAGTTTATTTCCCAACAGGCAATGGGCCAATTTCCCGAGTTGATCCCATGAAAATCACTCACTCCTGTCGTAAAAAGCCTGTGGTTTTTCAAGGTGAGCGTCGCACACCCCCCACCACCCACCACCCACCACCACCCACCATACGCTCCCTGCTCCTTAAGAACCCTGGCGGATTGCACGGATGCAGGCGGCGCGCGCGATTGTCTCACGATTACAAAGGAGCCGTGTGACATTTTTCACTTCTTGTTTCCTTGCTCGTATGTTTGCTTTTTTTTCCACTTGCCGAATTGAGATGAACCGCGAGGCCACCGTGCGGCATGTAATGTAAAGTGTTCATCACCCGGTGGGAAGTGATGCCGAGATACAATGGTAACAAATTAATTCTAGATTTGAAGCTTTCGTGACTGCAAGGATTCATACTCTTAGATTTTTTTCGGTAAAGTCACGTAGGTAAAAATGTATTATAATAAATTAAATAATATTAATAATCATATAAATAAAATAATAAATCACGACGTTTCAGAGGCAACACAAGTCTCCGTCATCAGGAGGGACCGTCACAGCTAAATTTACCGTATCCAGTGAGGCAAATTTCCAAAAGACAAGCTCTTAAATACAAGTTAAGGGGGGAGGGGCTTATCTGAATGTGGTAGCCAATGAATGGAACGTGTTGGGGGGTAATAAATTCCTTCAAGCGCTCACAGGGATCTCATCCACACTCTTCAATGGCACACACCTAATCTGTTATATGTTTAAAAAAAAGAGAATCACGTCACTTAGTCTATTGCAAATAACAGATTAGATGAGCAGTGCTGGGGTCGATGAGGCTAATCAGACCAAAGGTGAAGAGAGAACAAAATGTGACCACGTTGGCATAAACTACGTCCCATTATGCAATGGGAGGCTTCGTTAGCTGAAATCGGCGCAGAGGTTTAAGAGTATCTCCAATTTTGGCCCATTGCCTGTCGGGAAACAGGTGGAGGACTTCTTCACAAATCTGGCTGTCGCCTGATGAAGCTGGTTGTAATTACTGGCGAAACGTCGTACTCAGATCGTACATGTTGTAGCTTGGCTCTCCAACACACCGGTGTGCTGTACTAGTACACTACACTATACACTACACTATACACTACTATACCACTACACTACTATACACTTCACTACCCACTAGTGTTGTACTAGTGACGAATTGGCCACGTTCTGTTTACGAGACAACCCTTACTAGTCGGCTGTGGCGGGTTTAACGACACATTTCTATATTTACGCGATCTAACCCAAAAAAAACTCTATTATAGAGGTCTAAGAGTTTGCCGGTCAAACGTACAACTTTGCAGCACTGGCTTTGGTCTAATCGCCTACCACCAAACCCCCCAAAATCCGCAAATCTGCCCATCGCCGGCTCCATCGTCGGTCTGTCAAATAATTTCAAAATCCTCGCCATCGACAACCCCCCCGTGCTCAGCGCATTAAAGGCACGGCGGTCGCCACCTCAGGGCCTTGCCACGCGTCCGCCCAACTTTGACCGATACGGAGACCGCAAACAGCACTCGGGCTTTTTTGCGGAACTGGCGGCACTCGCCACGATTGCCGCAGCGTCGGGTCACCCCTTGCTCGGACAGCAGAACGTCGCCTCGACGAACCACAGCGGCCCTCAAAAACCAACCTGTCCTGGCTCGGCATTTAGGCGCGGCCACATGACTCCCGTGGCTTCGTTAAAAAAGACGTCGCTATCATGTGCCACCGGGGTTTCTCTCTCTCTCCAGGTTCTCCCACCGTACCTCTCTACCCCACCCTTCTCGCACGTCTAACAATCTGCTCATCGCACACCCAAGAACCAGGACTGTCCTGGCTGAGTGGAATTTCTCCGTGGCTGCATCGGCGGCCACCTGGAACCCTCTCCCACTGCACACAGGCAGCAGCAGGCAGTGGCAGCAGCAGGCAGTGACAGCAGCAGGCAGTGGCAGCAGCAGCATCCAAGCACTCTCCACTTTCAAGCAGCAGAGCTAGGCTCACCATCCAGGCTCTCGCCTGCTTCAGGCTCTAACCTGTCCAGGTACTCACCTGGTTCTGGCTCAAACCTGGTTCAGGCGATCACCTGGTTCAGGTTCTAACCTGGTTCAGTCTCTCACCTGGTTCAGTCTCTCACCTGGTTCAGGTTCTAACCTGGTTCAGTCTCTCACCTGGTTCAGTCTCTCACCTGGTTCAGGCTCTCGCCTGCTTCAGGCACTGACCTGGTTCAGGCTCTCACCTGGTCCAGGCTCTAACCTGGTTCAGGCTCTCACCTGTCCAGGATCTCACCTGGTTCAGGCTCTAACCTGTCCAGGATCTCACCCACCCAGGCTCTCACCTGGTTCAGGCTCTAATCTGTCCAGGTGCTCGCCTGTTCAGGCTAGCTTATGAGGGACTTGAAGCTTTGGCTTGAAATATGCACACGTTATGAATTGTTTATTATTAATGTAATGTAAACAGACAAATTAGCTGCTATCATGCAGATGCAGTGTCTGCATTCAATCACTGAACAAGTGAAGATAAGGCAAAAGGCAGGGATTTTATATCTTACCAAAGTTTGTTCATTTCATGCCTGAAAGTCTTTGTAAATGTGTTAAATGCTAGGACGTAACTACGTATTAAAAGCACCTGCTTGAAATTGATAACAACGACGAACAGTGGATTATATATCTACGTTTTGTAACTTCATAAATGTTTTTCCTGGAGGTGTAACGATTCCCCTAAATAGCTCTGATTATTGGCTGAATTGTCACGATTCAGGCTCACAGATAGATTTAAGGAATGCACTATTTCTTAACATCAAGGTGACTGACAGTACTATTGGCTGTCTACAGAGCTCACCGTGAATCTATAACTTGCAACTTACACAAATCTACCAAAGATCAAATTGATACACCGTCACCACCGATCAGCATCCCGCACAAACCGAGTATCACGATTGGCTACGTACGGTGTGAAAGCAGCGAGATGTTAACTCTTTTGTCTCGTATACAGGAGTTTGTGGGTTCGATCCCGTCCCTGACGTCTGCTTTATATTTGGAGTTTGCATCTTCTCCCGGTGGTTGCGTGGATTTTTCTCCGGGTCCTCCCTCCACATTTAGAATCAACATCACGCGTTTAGATTATTTGGCTGCTATTTGTTTCCACGTGATCAGCCACTTCGTTGAGCTATCATTTGTGGCCAGGTTGCTTCCGAAAAAGAGCTATACAGCTCAGTGGGCCTTACCTGCTAAAATAGTTAAGTTTAGAACATACGTCATACCTATACCATTGATTTTACACTAATTTTATGGTGCAAATGAAACTGTGTAGTTGTTCCGTATGAAGCCTGTTAAGACGTCCTGAGGCCCATGTCAACAGCTGTTCCTTCTCAAAAACTTATAAGTGCTGCTTCAGGTTAACGCGTTCTGAAAAGTTCGCGTATTCGTGTTTGGTGTTCTGAGAAGTGCCGATATCGCTTGCCGTCATATAACAGCCCATTTCAACCACTGCTCTCAATGAGATGCTTGGCAGCGGAAACGTTAAGCCAATCTTCAATTCTCTGCTTGGGGAGGCCTTCATACCTGCGGTGTTATTTTTCACCCCTGTTGATGACGATGACTTAAGAGACACATTGAAAACAACTCTTCTTTTTTTTTTGGTACATGCTCTCTCGAGTTTTACAGCGGCTTTTTTCATACGTGGCTTCAAACACCGCATGACCGCTTCGTGTCGGTAACGTTGTGTTATCGCTCAGCGACATGTTGACCCTGGGCTGTATTAAAATGTGCCTTCAGCACACAATCTGAACTTACAGCCGAGGGGGACTTTGCTCTCGGTCAAGGCAGGGTGATGCTGTCAGCTCATGCAGAAAATAAGATTACCCCTCGGTAAACTCGGCGATAATCCTCAACAAACAGCGGCCAAACATTTACGGGCGCATGTCACCGCATTTTTTCACATCTTCAGACACATGCTAGCTCAAAAAGAAAAACCCCACTGACCCAATACACTGCAACAACAGCAAAAAATCAATTGCCATCACGCTCATACGCAACAAGACCCACTGTTGGGGTTACACATCCAATGTTGTAAAAAAAATGGTTACCAATTACAGCTAAATGACCACAACACCCAAAATAACACGGAAATCGATGCGAAGAGGAGAAGGGATGCCGCGCGCCGAAGAGCCTCGCTACCCCCCCGAGCGGACAGCAACTTACCCCGTCAAGCGCCTGCACCCCCATGAGAGACGTGGCACAGCCGTTGGGCAGCGCCGCCTTGTAGTCCTTCCTTGGCACAGGGACGGCTCCTGCAACCCCTGACGAGAGGGGGGATGTGTTAGCAACGCGAGTCTGCCGCGAAGGCAATTCGCAACGGGTTATTGCCGAACGCGAACATATTTCTCGGTTGTCACAAGGTCTGTCAGCAACGTGTAGTGGTACTGCTTGTTGCTCTGCGTCGACATCAGTCATACGAAAGAAGCGTCCATTACCTTTTTACCGCAACACAATTCAACACAATTCAACACAATACCAGATCTCTTCTTCTTGGTTCTTTCGGTAAAGTCACGTAGAAGAGAAGTAATAAAATAATAAAAATAAAACATAAAATAATTCTCACGACGTTTCGGCCACAACGCAAGCAGCCATCCTCAGGTGAAGAACAGGTCTTCAGACGCTGTCTTTCTGACAGACCTGTTCTTCACCTGAGGACGGCTGCTTGCGTTGTGGCCGAAACGTCGTGAGAATTATTTTATTATGTTTTATTTTTATTATTTTATTATTTCCATTCTACGTGACTTTTACCGAAAGAACCAAGAAGATAGTTCTCGGTTGTCACTAGGTCTGTCAGCAACGTGTAGTGGTACTGCTTGTTGCTCTGCGTCAACATCAGTCATACGAAAGAAGCGTCCATTACATTTTTACCGCAACACAATTCAACACAATACCAGATCTCGTCACAATTCCAAATCTGGCCGGCCGAACACAGACGCCAATTGCCGGGTAAATCCCGGACAGCCGGGTAACCCCCACCAGCTGTGTGTAGCTCTACCGATGTGTTTTGAATTGTTGTTTATTCCACTCGACGCCTGACATTTTCATGAAGTTCTCAAGAAGCTAACCCGGCACGCGGAGCCAAAAGCACGCTGGGGACACCATGCCCCGAACAACGGTGCACCGCAACCTGCCGGCGCATCGTGTAGAGCCATTTCCGACGTCGCGTTTAGGCCACGGGCTCTAGAGGCAGCTGCCGCGTATTAGCGAGGAACTGATGTGAGCGACGTGATTTCATGTCGCCACTTTATTGACCATTAGGATCGATCTGTTCGCGGAGACACACAGGTTTGTATGCCAAAACTCAGAAACGCATTGTGGTCGAGCTGAACTCCTTTGTGGTTTCACAATCATTAGCAAGTGCGGAAGTGAGAAAGAGCCAGGGGTGAGAAGGGTTTGTGTTTTTGACAAGAAGGGCCTTCCATAAAAACTTTTTGTTTGAAACTAAACAATTTATATTTTACCAGGTGAGGCCCATTGACCTGTATAGCTCCGTTTCAGAAGTGAACTGTCTATCAGAAATGATAGCTCAACGAAGTGGCTTATCACGTGGACATCTATAGCAGCCAAATACTCTAAACGCACGTTGATTCGAAATGTGGAGGGGAAAAACCGGAGGACCCGGAGAAAAATCCACGCAACCACGGGGAGGGAGACATGCACACGCCAAATATACAGGCGTCAGGGTCGGGATGGAACCCACGAACTCCTGTATGCCAGGCGAGGTAGTTAACATCTTGCCACCGTGAGAATGAGGGAACACCTCTACATTTATACCGTTTGGGAAAAGAGAGATTGGGTGTCTAGAGTGTCAAATGTGAAATTTTTTTAATCTAATATTTATGAAAGCTATTTGTTAATTCACCGCTGGATAAAGGTATATTCATGCCGTGTAGGTCGTGGGGTGTCCGTATAGGTTGTGGGTGACCGTGTAGGTCGTGCGGGGGATGGGGAGTTTTAACCATACATGTCGTGAGGGCTTTGGGCAGGTTCAGATCCCACTCCCGAGGGGCATTATCTGGCGTTGAAGGTTGGTACACTCTGTGGGATTTGCGGGCCCAATTAAAGCAATTATTCCACTGATTGGGAGAAGGCACCAACGATAACAAAACAGCGTCTGTACAATACCCTTGGCAGTTTTTGTCAGATCACAGACACAATATAATGCGCGTCTGGACCACATTTGTTTGGACACGAACAAACATTGTGTCGTGACACAAAAAGTACTTGTGCAGAATTTTTTGTTTTTCTTTTACAAGGTAGTTTTTACTATTCACATGTAACCACCCTGTTAAAATTACCTCGTTATATTTTGTGTTATTCATTCGTCTTCAACAGTTGTAGATCACAAAACAATTACGTAGTTTCTATACGGGGTTAATTATGTGGAGGACACAGCTGCTAAAAATGGAATCCTTTCACAAATATCTACCATCCATTGCCAGATAATATAACTTTGTTGTTGTAACAATTACCGGCTTGCACTTTGCCGAAAATGAAAACGTACACAGTATAGCAAAGGCAGTGCATGCAATTATATTTCATATTCAGAAGACTGTCAAGTAAAAGTAAAACTGTGTTTAATTCCAGATTGGGCGGGGTATGGGGGGGCAGCATTGTTTATTTATTTATTAGTAAAACTATTTATCTCAGATATTGGTGTTTAACCTGGGGGGGGGGGGGGTGCACACTGCGAGACACGGCCAGATTTTTAATAAGACGAATCATCGAAAATACAAATTAAGCATGGCCACGTAAGAACAACTACTTTGTTAATAGAACCCAATGTCTTTATTAACATTATACCTTGTTTACGCTTGAGAACCAAGGGGATGCAAGGCTACAGTAAGGGTTAAGAACCACTGCTCTCGAAAATCCCTTGAGATGCACACATCACGTGTGCAAGGGATGTCCGGGGTGTCACGTGATGAACACCAAACGTCGTTCTGCACGCTGCACTATGATCCCAGCGACCTCAGCTTGATTACTGTCCGTGCCTAACGAACGTGGGTAGCGAGTGAACCAGCTGCTGAGTCGGATGCATGCTCTGTATGTTGAACTTCTTTCGAAGCCGGACGTAGCCGCCAACCGTGCTAATCGGAGGTGCTGGGGAAGGACAACAAACTAAACACAAACATCAGTTCGAAGGAAGTTCGTTTTCAATCTGCCATTCAACAACCAGCATTGACCAGCGTGGTGAAGTATGGTCAATCCCTCGAAAGAAACCGTGTGGGGAAGACTTTAAATCCAGCGCTGAGTTGACAAAGGGTTGTAAACTATTAACCATTAATCCAGAACGTTCGTGTCACTAGCACAACACGCTTGTTTAAATGCCGGCGAGAGCCAAATATTAGTTTTGCTGACCAATGTGGTTTGATAGAATTGATCATGTTTCACAGGAAAATTGTACAACTTCATGCAATACAGAATCAGAATATTTATTTATCCAGTTTTTCAGCGGCAGTCGATACATTTCTAAAGTATGGGGAGCCAAAATCCAACTAAATTGTTAAGATGAAAATGTAACAAAAAATATTTATATATTTTTTTGCCTAAAAGCTCATTTGCAAGGGACAGCTAATTGCTCGGTTGCATTGCCCTGGGCATTGTTTACCGGGCTACGAACGCGATGTCTTTCTAGATTTGTGTCAACAGAGATCGGTGGCGTGAGCCCTGCTAGTGACCTTGTCACAATAAGAGGGGGGCATGCAATACTCGGCGAGCAGGTCCTGGTGTGCCCTCACAGTCGATATTCAAACAAACTCCCGACAAATGGAAAACCTAAAACGTTAAACAGAATGCTGGACGATATAATCCGTTTTTGTCTATCACACTAAGTACGTATGTTCAGCTTATTTCGCACCGTACGTCGCCAAAAATTTTTTTGCTTCTTGTTTTTAGTTTTGGTGTCCATCACCCCGCACCTCCGATTAGCACGGTTGGCTACGTACGGTGCTAAAGAAGTTCAACAATGCTAATGTATACGCGAAAGGGCTGCCACTGGGTGTACCGACGTTTTGTGACTTGACCAGGAGAATTAAGGACGTGGAAGGGTGGGGGGGCTTAGCTCCACTTGATCACTCTCATGCCGAGGATGTCATGGTCGCGAGATGTGAACTCCCTCTCCTGGTATACAGGATATCGTGGGGTTCGATCCCGACCTGACGCCTGTATATGTTGGAGTTTGCAAGTCTCTTTCTCCCCCCGTAGTCGCGTGGACTTTCCTCCGGCTCCTCCGCTTTTCCCCCCCGGCCGCTATAAATGTCCACACGGTAGGGCCAGCATCTAGATTTGAAGCGTTCGTGACTGCAAGGATTCATATTCTTAGGTTTTTTTTCGGTAAAGTCACGTAGGTAAAAAAATAAAATTAATAAAAGTAAGATAAAAAATAAAATAAAAATCACGACGTTTCGGAGGCAACACAAGCTTCCGTCTTCAGGTGGAACTGTATCACTTGATACAGCTATCGTGCTGTGACAGTTCCAACCTGAAGACGGAAGCTTGTGTTGCCTCCGAAACGTCGTGAATTTTATTTTATTTTACATTTATTAAAAATATTTTACCTACGTGACTTTACCGAAAAAACCTACGAATAGGGCCAGCATCGTCGACCTCTCATTTGTGCGATAGCCCTTACCTGGAAAAATAAAAAATAAAAAAAACAAGTTCTGTTTCATTGAACCGAGTTGCCAATGTCGGTTTGCGTGGGTTTTACTGACCATGCTTGCAGCGGTACTGGCACTCCCCGTTGTAGCCGCCGAAGAATTCCACCATGGACTCGAGATAGTTGTCGACCTTCTCGATCCCGCGCCGCAGATTCTGCACGTTGAGGCCCCAGCCCTCGGGCTCCTCCACCACCACGTTCGTTGTTGCTGCCACCAACGTTGAGATGAGAAGCAGCAGCAGCGGCGTAGCCAGGCAGGACGCGGATCTTGTTGGGCACAGCGGCATGGTCGCGATGTGACCCGCTCTCTCTGTGTTCGGACACAAACGGAAGGGGCGATGAATCTCGATTTGCGGCTTTGCGTCGTCCGATGATTTTAGTCTCCTCTGCAGTTAATCATTTGATTTGAGCAGTTGGACTTTAGCACGCGTGAAGTCACCGGTTTCGAAATCGGCTCCGGGCGCTATTTTGTGTTACTTTTCAACGTTATGTGTTGTCTGCACCGTTCGGCTTACACTGCAGCGCTGATGATTTCAACGGTGGCCGTCCAAGTGTGGGATCGGTTCAGCCGGAAGGTTCACTCCTCCGTATGAGCTATCTGGAAATGTTGAGGGCACGAGCTTTGTGTTGCCACCTTATGTAGACGAATGTGCTCTACAGTGGCATGTCTGAGTCGAAGTTGTGATTGGTTATAGCGAGCGAGGGAGCCATGAATGTAAGTGAATGATTAACTCGCAGTCCGATAGTAGGGACGTAAGGTACGTAGTTCATGCTGATGTTGACGTGTTGGCAAGCTGCAACAAATGTGGTCTTCATGTCTGGTTGCGACATATCAGTGTTCGTCATGATTATCATCAGCAATGTCCCGACAACACGTATTTGTAAAGCATCCCGGATAAATTAGAGGGTATACTACATACGGTGCCATCAACTTCAGTGAATAACAATGGCTAACGAAGGCATTTTAAAGGCTATGACACTGGCTCCAATGGAAACGTTTATCCTTCACTTTGTCAAAAAATATTAGGACAGTTGCTATTATCATGTGATTTAACAACCCAGCATGCATCATTCGCAAGAGTTAGGCCATCGTGGCGAGATGTTAACTGCCTCGCCTGGTATAATAAGGACGTCGTGGGTTCGATCCCAACCCTGACGCCTATATACTTGGAGATTGCGTGTCTCTCTCCCCGTGGTGGCGTTGATTTGTCTCCTGGTCCTCCGGTTTTCCGCTTCACATTTCGATTATTTGGCTGCTATAAATGACCACATGATAAGCCACGATGTTGAGCTATCATTTGTGGCCAGGTCGCCTTCGAAAAATAAGTATATAGCTCAGTGGGCCTTACCTGGTAATATTAAAACATATATTTTAATAGTTTGTGTGCCAGTATCTTGGTCGAAACTTGCCAAGTGTGTAAAAAGAAAAACAACAAATTCCTCTGTGCGAGCATACGTGGCATTGATCACCACCTACTGAAACGCACTTGACAGCACCCTCTTGAAAAATGAGTCACGAGACTCACTGAGGCTTGCCCGGCTAAAACCCATTACAGGGCACACCGTTGGTATTGTTCATACGGCCATTGCACATTAAACGGCGTTCGCATGGTAGGCAGCAGAGTACAGCGGGAAAAAAAATGTTGCACTGCACTTATATATCTTGATTTGAAGCTTTCGTGACTGCAGGAATCCATACTCGTTGGTTCTTTCGGTAAAGTCACGTAGGTGACTTTATTTCACGTAGATATTTTATTTTATACCTACGTGGCTTTACCGAAAGAACCAAAGAGTATGCACTTATATACTCCAACATCTATGTCCCCAAGCTTAATTTGGAGATTTCGTGACTGCAGGAATTACTCTTTGATTATTTCGGTAAAGTCACGTATAAAGATAACATAATAAATTTAATAATAGCATACGACGTTTCGATTGCAACACAAGCAATGATCATCAGGTATAAATGAAATAGAAACAAAAAATATAGTATACTTATAAATGTAATCTACGTCCCCCCCACCTTTAACCCACAGCGACCATCATGGTTCAGTATGTATGGCCGAATCACCTCCACAACGCGGTGTGGGGAGGCCCTCGTGCAATGTGCAGTCAATGTACAGAGTCTAGATTTGAAGATTTCGTGACTGCAAGGATTCATATTCTTAGGTTTTTTCGGTAAAGTCACGTAGGTAAAAACATTAAAATTAATAAAAGTAAAATAAAATAAAAATAAAAATCACGACGTTTCGGAGGCAACACAAGCTTCCGTCTTCAGGTGGAACCGTCACAGCCACGACAGCTGTATCATTTACTGTATCATGTACTTGATACAGCTGTCGTGGCTGTGACGGTTCCACCTGAAGACGGAAGCTTGTGTTGCCTCCGAAACGTCGTGATTTTTATTTTTATTTTATTTTACTTTTATTAATTTTAATGTTTTTACCTACGTGACTTTACCGAAAAAACCTAAGAAAATGTACAGAGTAACACATGAATAGGCATGATCATAAGCTGTGCTCATGTTCGAGCAGCACCGGGCAAACTAACCAAAGCGTGAGTCATCGCTGACCCCTCAGCAATCATACCCCAGCGCTGCTGTGAACTCAACGTGTCTCGGGTCTCAACGCACCATGCGTCAGGATAAGCAGCGCAAAGGTCTTCCCATTTCAGTAGCATAGGCTGATGGTGTTTGTCTTGCACCGTTAGCCCTAGTTGGCAAGATAGGCTCCGAGGTGGCAGACCCAAGCCCAGGGTTTAAAGATCGGCGATAGTTAAAAAAAATCTCAGCCACGGCTCTACGACGTGGTTCGATGCTTCCTTCTTGGCTTGATTTTAGTGCGGGGGTCGTGGCGCGCTCCACATTAGCCGATCCGCTGCAGCCGTCCAAGCACCGTGCAGGCTTACACGTTTCATCTGTGGTCCAATTGACAATCACAAATCCTGATATTTCCTTGAGAGCAGGGGTCCCCAACCCCAGGCCACGGACCGGTCCGTGGCCTGTTAGGAACTGGGTCACACAGCACCAGGAGGTGAGAGCGGTGAGTCCACGCGTGGCCCGCCAATTGTTTTATTATTTACCATTTCCATCCGCGCCTCTTTCCCCCACTGCGCACTCGTCTCAGTCAGTGTTGGTAAGCCCACAAGCTCTAAGCCCTAGCCACGATGAGTAAAAAAAAACGTCGCTGGAGAGCTTCTTTTGAAAAGGAAGAAAGACCCAATGGTGAACCCCCCCCCCCCGTCCGTCCGTGAAAACATTGTCTTCCACGAAACCGGTCCCTGGTGCCAAAAAGGTTGGGGACCGCTGCTTTAGAGGGTATTACAAGCAATGCAATCGTAATGCCAATGGGGCCTGCATGCGGTGTGAGGTGACTAGTGGCCACGGGAGGTAATGACAAGTAAGTGAGGTCAGCCTATCATACGAATGCACTGGTGGCAGAGGTCGCAACCGAGTACCCGATACCCGTACCCTACCCGTACCCAGCCGGGTACGGGTAGCCGTTTGCGACCCTGGTGCGGCCGGGTACGGGTACGGGTAGGCCGTGAGTCACTGGTGAGTAACCGTTTGTCACTCGTTTCGGGTAGGGAACGGATACCCATTTGCAACCCTGGTGCGGCCGGGTACGGCTACGGGTAAGGAATCAAAACCCGTTTGTGACTTCTGACTGGTGGTGGCCACGGGAGCTAATGATGGGGGCATCAGTTGTGAGTGTGAAGGGACTGGTGGCCACGGGAATGTTCGAGAAGGGGGCGTGGTCCGGTGACGGAAGAGGACGGTGGAGTCTGCTGGTGGAGCGAGCGTCCAATCAGCGAGAAGGTTCGAGAAGGGGGGCGTGGCCTCGGTCAATATATAAAAGAGAGATGTGCGGGAGACTCGGGGTTGTTGCAGTGGGGGTCTCCGCCTGATGTCAAGCGAACGTGCCTTCAATAAATTGCCATCTCAAGAGAAGTCGTCATTACACAATTATCTGGCCGTAGCTACAGATGAGGGCACTGTGGCATTGCCGACATTCGACTGAGTTTTAAAATATATATTTATACAAAAAAGCACGTGCAATAACATGAGTACGTGTTAAAACATAATGCACACAGAGCCGTTGATTCACACATGTATGTTGAACTTATTTCACACCGTACATAGCTAATCAGATGTGGGGGGGGGGGGGGGGGGAAGGACAACAAACTCAACACAAAACTGTTCGAAAAAAATGTAGTTTCCAATCTAAACACAAGTTGCTATTGATACACGTTGCAACACCATTGAACGTTTACATTGATATATCTGGTTCCCATTGTATATACAGGGTGCTTCAAAAAATGTTAACACTTACATTGGACGATCGTTTTTTATGGAAAAGAACGAATACACTGCACCATAACAAATGTATGTTAATAGCTTTAAAAAGTAAGTCTCCACTTGTTCCCTATAATTGTCAACACATTGCCTGGAATCTTCCCCAGGTGGTCTCCAGAGGCCGGAGGCACATTTCTTGTGGTATTGTTGCAAATTCTCAGAAGTGTGAACATTTTTTGAAGCCCCCTGTACATCTGAACATGATGTTGTATGCAAGTTCCGCTTGGCAAAAAAAAAACCTCGTATTATTTTCCCAGTGCCATTTTCATTTTATGGTGTAAAAAGTTCTTATAGAGAGGGAAGCTAGCCGACTTGTAGCTTTAACTGGCATGACTCAAGGCTGTTACAACTTGTTGTGGACAGAGACTAAGGCGCAACCTTTAGCACAGTAGCATCAACACCGCCCATTCTCGAGCATATCCAACTAATTTAACACTAAAAAAAAGCAGCATTGTAAACCTTGCAGCCAGTGTGCATACGTGGTACTTGAAGAACGCAGCTTTTAAAAATAACAAAAGAACATTGCCCGATGGCAAAGCACTGCAATCTGGGTAAAGTTCATTTTCAAAGTCGAACAACTTCATTAGCTACGAATAACATTCGCAAAATCACATTGTCATTAGCACAAAGACCTTCATTTTACCTAGAGGAGAACGTTTTGACTTAGATTTACAATCTTTTCCCCACAGCTATAACAAAATATATACAAATGCAGTAAGTTATGCTTTTATATAATTAATGCGTAATACAATTAACATTTTAATGCGCGTTGTGCCTTCACAGTTTGAAATGCCAAACAGGAAAATGTGCCATCTGGAAGGGAATGCCAAAGGGCGTCATGAATGGAGCACGAAAAAACCACCAGCATCCAGACATACAGAAACGAGTGTCATCTTAAAAACCCACATTTATTCAGAAACACTCAGCACTGCAAACAAATACATCCAATACGGTATATATGTATACAAAAAAAAATACCTCCAAGGTTTCATTTTTAAAAAAGTGAAATATACATCGCATGGAATCTGGACACAAACAGTTAATCGTATTGCTCTGGCTTAAGTAACACAACACTCATGCAAGCGAACTTACTTACTTGTTGGCAACCTTCTGGAAAGAACTACAGAGCGACATGCATTTAGGTTTAGCTGCAAGATGAATTAAATGTTTATGGACTTACACGGCATGCAGCAACGCTAGTTGCATACACAATAACCACACCTAGTGCGCTTCTTTCGGCACACAGAGTGGCCAAGGGATCTTTAAATTGCATTCTCCAAAACCTTAAACATTGTGCAATGTTTCAGGATAGATTGTCCAATCTTAGTTTTCAAGTACAATACTTTCAAATTGGCCTTAATGTAAAATATAGGAAATACAACTGTGACATGGACACGAGAAAAATGTCATTGTTAAATAATACAGCTGCACTGTTTCCCAGTAACTTTTAAACAAAAAGGTGGTAATGATATTCATGAAAATTAAGTTTTGAAAACTAATTGTCCATAGATTCCAACTGAGACATTAACTATTGCAATTTACATGCAGAGTATAAATTAGCCAAAGCATGCAATTTTTTTATTACTTCCAAAAACTATTTAAGAACAATGTCAAAGGTTTAATTGGAAATGTGAAGAGTATGGAGCAGAAGCATGCAATAAACTTTGTCCGTGCAGAATATACAACACGAATGCCATCTCATCTGGTCCATGACTGAGACAGTGGGGCCAAGGGTGGCGTGTTAATAGAGATTCATTAAGACCCGCCAAGATATTTAACCACCATAATTTCCTCTGAGCATTGCGCCAAAGCGCTTATAATCTCTACAATGCAAAATTACTTTCTCAGGTTCTTTTTTTTTATTTGGTTCTTTCGGTTAAGTCACGTCTAAAGATAAAATAATAAATTAAATTAAATAATAGCATACGACGTTTCGATTGCAACACAAGCAATCATCATCAGGTATAATGAAATAGCGACATAAAATCTAACCAGAAAACTATAGACAGACATATTAGCAGACAGATATCACCAAGATACATAGAGGGGCCACCCCACAGAGATGATCACCCCTCTCTGGTTCCTGTGTTGCTCCCTCTATGTATCTTGGTGATATCTGCCTGCTAATATGTCTGTCTATAGTTTTCTGGTTAGATTTTATGTCGCTATTTCATTATACCTGATGATGATTGCTTGTGTTGCAATCGAAACGTCGTATGCTATTATTTAATTTAATTTATTATTTTATCTTTAGACGTGACTTAACCGAAAGAACCAAATAATCATTTACTGCAGTCACGAAAGTTCTAAAATTAAAATTACTTTCTCAGGCTTACAATAACATATTTTGGATACTCAAGCCTAAGTGATTAAACGAAGGTGAAAAAGACCAATTTGTGCCCAGGCAAGAAACAGTTCCTGGTGTTAGGACGTCACTCCTTGACATTTGCCGTTTTCTTGCTGGGGAACTCCCAGGTGGTCTCCTTGGCGCACTTCCACATGGCATCCACCAGGCGCGTAAAGCCCATATCCTTGGGTTTCTCCAGTCCTCGCATCAAGCGCTGCTTCATGATTGACACAAACTCCTTGTTGCTGAGCTCGCCATTTCCTGCGAGCGACAGGCACGTGAAAGGGAGGAGAAGGCGCATTCGTACACGAGTCTCGTATTATTCAAAGCATTTGGGACACACACAAATTATTAGTCGTAGCCAGAGTAGGGGATAGTCTTTGAATCGAACCGGAGATTGATAAGAGGTTATTTTGATTTAGATCACGTAGTTCAGCACCGGTGTGCTGAACTACGCGATCTAACCCATTAATTCAAGCCTACATTATTTTCTTAAGCAAATGGATTGCTTTCCATACGCATAAAATAACTCGTATCACAATAAGAAAAACAAGTTAGATGCCGTCCTGTACCTTGTCAGAGCGTTACTTAATGCATCCCGTTGTAAAACACTGTTTCGATTTAAAGCTTTCGTGACTGCAGGGATTCATCTTCTTGGTTCTTTCGGTAAAGTCACGTAGAAGGCAAGTAATAAAATAATAAAAATAAAACATAATAAAATAATTTTTGCGACGTTTCGGCCACAACGCAAATTCCTTTGTCAATGCGCCCAGCTTATATATATGCTCCAAGCTCGTGTGCTGTTTCATTCAGACTCTGTCGCCTCGACGGACCTGGTTTTCACCTGAGGACGGCTGCTTGCGTTGTGGCCGAAACGTCGTGAGAATTGTTTTATTATGTTTTATTTTTATTATTTTATTACTTGCCTTCTACGTGACTTTACCGAAAGAACCAAGAAGATAAAACACTGTTGTCAAGGATGGCAGTGTGTCGTTTGAAAAAAACGTAAATTATAGTGCAGCAACCTCTGTAAGGCGAGCACTATGAATAACACTCGATATATGATCCTTGGAAAACACCCTACAATGTATAACATCTACTGGCCAAGAAAACGCATTCATGGATGTCCTTACTGCCAAAGAACCACCCTACCCGTTTTTTGCAGCGGAAATAATCTTTTTATCCTAATGAGAAGTAAATATTGCCACAGGAGCTTATCCAAGGCTTAAGTGGATATAGTTGAGGAGCGGATTGTAAGCAAATGATTGACGGTTATTTTAAAATGCTCAGAAACATCATGCATTGCAAGCGGGGTGGCCAAGTGTCGGTTTACCACCCGAAATTATATGCACCTGTTGTTAAGTCAACATTACTGTGACGCTAAGCACCAGCTTACCATTGGACAGTGAACATTATCCTTAAGCTAGACCAGCTACTCACTAGTCTATTCAAGAGCAAAGCAAAACAATGGGCATGGGTTGAAGAGTTCAGTTGGTTAGACGTTTTTTGTTCAGTTGATTAGGTGGGTTTTTATAAATCTGAACATGGTACCGGACATGTCTTAGTTTAAATCCATACAGACTGCACGTGTATTGTTTGCTGTTGTAACTTGTTTTTACCGGCCCCTAGTGGACATCTGTGAAAAAAAGCTTCAAGGCTCATCGGCCTTCTCCAGAATAAATACACAAATATTCAGATTCTGACATGTGGTGAGCTCTTATGAGAGAAAAGACAAATGTTCCTTGCACATAGCTCCCAGGAGAAATGTACCAGCGTAACGGATGATTTAAGATTGCCATTCAAATGCAGCGTTTATCTGACTTGAAGCTACTCGCATTTAGACCATTTACTTTGCATTTAAGCAGGTCTGTCAAGTGGGCTGAACGTGATAAGATGGGGATAACACTCACCATCGCAGTCGAAGAGGGTGTACACTACGTCGCACACGTGGTCGGATAACTCCACTTTAGCCACAGTCCGTGCCACCTGCTGCATCGTGGCTGCAAACACAGATTCAAATAAATGAAAAGTTCTTCACAACAACCACGAGTGGGCATTCCATCCTACGGAACACTGCCTGCACCACAAATGCATTATTTTTGATTAGCAAGGAACGCTTTCTCGTGACTATTTTCAGGAAAGTCTTGCCAAGTTTTCAGTCGGGGGCAATGACTGCCACGTCTATTGCCCGTCAGTGATATGAGGAACATATTTCTAATTGACGACACGACGCTGGCACGCAACATTAGCCTCCTCTTGCAAATCACATTTCAGAATATTTAACAGCAACTGTGTAGCAGTGGGTGCATATGCTTATGGTAAGTACACCCACAGCCACGGTGTCGAGATGTTAACTCCCCCGCCTGGTATACCGGAGTTCGTGGGTTCAATCCCGACCCTGACGCTTGTTGAATATTTGGAGTTAGCGTGTTTTCCCCGTGGCCGCATGGATTTTTCTCCGGGTCCTCCGGTTTTTCCCTCCACATTTTTAATCAACGTGCGTTTAGAGTAATTGGCTGCTATCCAATTCCTAATGATGAACCACTTCGTTGAGCTTTCATTTGTGGCTAAGGTTGCTTCTGAAAATAGCAATATGGCTCAGTGGCCTTACCCGGTAAAATTAAATGTTTTCATCGTTTAGTTTTATAGGCAGCTTCACATTCGCCATACACATGGTAATAGAAGCTAGGAAACCATAGTTACAGTACTAGGCGAGTAATGAGATTTTATACATTTTTGGAATCCAGTCATTGATTCACGAATCTAATTTGTTGGTCCAATTTTATTGTCTTGTTGGAATTTTTCAACAATTTGTTTTGGCTTTTAGACATTTCTCGGCAATTTGCAGTAAATATGAAACCAATATATTCTCATAAGCATGATTTTATGCATGTCTAAAATATACAATTTGAAGCTTTATTTCGAGTTCTTAAAAAAGAAATGTGAATATGGACTATTATGACATGGGCACAATGCCCTACTCTTGCAATACAATTACAGAGTCTTTGATACTGCACACTTTCCAACGGATGAATTGCTTTAGAAATTCCCGGTAGGACTTCACCGGGCAGTGGAAACCCAACAATGAAATCTAGAATCAAATCCACGCAGAGCAGGCGAGCGCGTTGACCAGCGTGCGAGCCAGGAGCATCAATGGCTGCACGGCGGGATTAAATATTGCCGTATGAATTCACCCAAACACCGGTGATGCTAAGCCTTATTGAAACACACAATTTTGTACCTTATCCAAAGTGAATTAATGGACTTAGGTCGAACAAAAGAACTGCATATCCACATTGATGCAATAAGTCACCCGGCAGACAAGCACGGCCCATGAAAGTGTAATGTTAATCCAAAATAAGGACAGATTAAAGCAACATCTCCCCCCCCCCATCCACACTATCAGCCAAATTCCTGCAGCATTCAATTATCCCCAGAACATGAATTAATCAGTGCCGAATTTTCTACGCATGCTATTCCAATTATGATCGTGTTGTAGGCGCGAGTGATTATTTGATGAATGTGGTATACACGTTACGTTCCACATGGAGCAGTGTTGTTTTGAAACACGACATCTTGAACGGGTAACTCACACTTATCAATGGATGCTCCAGCCATGTGGTAGAATGTTAAGGCTGTGTCCACATCATTGATGTTCTTCAGAAACGTGAAGAAGTTCTGAACTTCCTCGAAAGTGATTCCCTGAGAAAAAACACGTTTAAAAAAAAATTACTTTTAGGCTTCGAAATATCAATCATTGCTCGGGGATGTGGTACTGCGAGGGTGAAACTGGAACATTGCTTCCACCACACTCGTGATGTCAGCCTGGCGAGTCATACACGTACAGCCGTTGAGGATTTCTCAGTAATATTGAAAAAAGCATTACTCTGTCAACAAAAGTTAGTGTGTGTGTCTTTGAAATCTGGCTGTTGTACAAGTTGGACAATGCCACTGCGTATAACATTCAAAACATCATTAACAAGAGTAATGCATCACTTATTTAAATATACAAAAGCAAACCATAATGTTCACCACCCTCCTTTTCAATTCATAGTATTCTTATCTATAGTGACGTAACCAAAATATACGAGGACCTCCTGCATCTAATCGTATGCCACGCATTTACATTTCTCAAAGCAAATATGACAATTCTCCGTTTGTAGACCATATTCCCCTTGTCATTTTTAACTCAACGTGACAAAAACCAAATAACATTCGTGCAGTGTATTCACCAAACAGAACAGCGTCCCAAAATGTAGCGCGGAATATCATTTGCACCCCATCGCTGTACCGCGAAGCGTATTATACAATGACAACGTAATCTTACCGGCCCATCTTTAAACTCCTTCTTGACGTGCTTGAGCATGTGCGTGAGTTTTTTGGACTTGACCCCACTGTAGGCCAAGAGCATGTTTCCAAATCTTCTCTCCGAAATGTACCCGTCCACGGGATCTTGCCTCTCAAACTGACGGAATACAATCGCCGACGTGCATATTTCCATTCGACAGTGAGCATACGGAAGCGGTAGGTCATGTTTAAGATGTCAAAACGAGAAGGCTCGCCCTGTTTTGTTACGAGGCCATTAGCATTGCTCCAGGAGATGAAACTTACACTTTTTGGAATCTGTAGCGAGTTATTTATCGCTGCATATTGAATTTAAGATGCAGGAATGGGCATGCCAACACCGCATATTGAATACTGTGCAAGTGAATTGTTTTAACAATTGCACGTTTTTACATCAATACAATACAAAACATTAATGACGAACAAAAAATGTTAGCTTGCAAAAGTAGACCTTGAGTGTCATTCACAACAACCATTAACCGTGCAGAATTTCACTTTCCAATTTGTAATAAGAAATCACCACGTGCACAAGAGATGACTGTGTTCCAAATGAACAGTTTTAAGACATCTAATATAAGTTTCTCATGCATGTTTAAAATGTCAGTTTAGTTAACGACTTAAAGTTTTACATTATTTCTCAACAAATATTAATCTTGGTTACACTTCAGTTTCTTTTGGTACATATACAACCACTTATAGACACGGGTGAGAGGGGTGGTGAATTGGTTAGTGCACTGCACTTTTAATACATCTAACCCAAGTTTGATTCATGGCCATGGCTAATATCAGCAGTGAGTGACATCTGAAGCGTTCCTTGCACTCCTGGTGTCCTCAAGTCTTCACGACGTATGGTCAAACAATCATCATGACCTACATGGACACACAGCTGTAGCATAGCATAGCTAGGAAATGTGAACCTACGTGCCAAAATTATCAAAATTGCTGCAGGAGAGTGGCAATATGCATTAGCTTTGCTCGTTCGCTCGGTTTCTACCCGACAACAACGGCAACACACTTCCAGTTTGAGGATGTCGCGTTGGAGACGGCGTTGGAACTGCAGGAACTTGTCTATGGTGAGCTTTCCGCGGAGGTCCTCGCCAAAGAAGAAGGTGGTCAGTGCAGAGTTGAAGCCAGACTTGAGCGTGTTTCCCGTGGTGGAGCGATCGCGGTGCCTCATGCCCATGCTCGTTTGCGAGCGCACGATGCTCTGCACCTGCGGAGGGAGGATTGAAGAGGGAAGCGAGGCGTCGTATGTTGAACTTATTTTCGCACCATGCAATGGGGTAACTGTGCTAAATTGGAGGGGTGGAAAAAAAATTACGTGTGAAAAAATTACCGAGGGCTCCGTCTTCAAGACTTGGGTATTTTTTTTGGAACCTAACATTTATATTTATTTTTTTGTTTTAAGCACCAACTCTGCTTGTGCACGTGTGCACAGGTTGCATAATAAGTGAAGTCCATACAGTTTTGGTGATTGACAATATGGGGAGTGGTGTCATTTCGTTGGCACACTTAGTTACGAATCTGGTGACCCAAGATCGATTCATACCACCTTAGCAAACATCAGTGCGAGCTATATTTAAATCTGTCCTTGCCGCACCACCCATCTTCACGAACCTCTCAACGGACCAGTGAGGTGAAATATGGTCAAGTAATCCCCATGGCCAACGTAGAGTGGGAAGGCCTTCATTCCGCAATAGACTGGCAATTGTGTTGTACAATAGGATTTAGATTTATATAGCATCAAAATATAACCATATGTCAAAGTGCTGTACAAAACAGTCGGACATGGGTAGGGGGGCATCGTGGAAAGGAGGCAATTTTCTTTCTACAGAGAAAGTCAAAAGACAGAGGAAAGTGAGTTCTGGAGCTGGACTTAAATTTGAAGTCTACAGCAATGATGGCTGCCTCTGCTACTTGCCAACACCGAGGTTGACTTATTGATCTTAAAATATGTGATGCATTAAAAATCAACGCGCACTGTGCGCAAGTCAGGTTTGTGGAGGGACATTTAAGCCTGACGGATTGCCCCGTCTCAGTGAAACCAAATGGCAAAAGGGGCACAAGAGAGAGAGTGCGCAATCAACCATGCTTAAATAACCCTCCGCCAACATGAGAATTGCACCCACTCATTTTAAGAATTGTTAAGGTTTAAATTACCGTCAACAGATCACTGTTGAATAAGCAAGTGGGCGAATGTTTAAGATGCACGCTCAAAAGGTTATATTCTCTAGATGGTACCAATCAAGTATAACCCACTCATTATTTTTTTGCCGAGCCTTGTGTTTGAATAGAATATAGCGGAGCTAGTTTGAGTCGAGGATACGACGTATATGATATACAACGAAGTATGCCACTAGGCATGTATAATACTGGTCGACCCTATTTGCAACTAATTTTAAATGTTTGCCATTTTTCATAGAAATTATGGGAATTCTTGACAGCTTCATCGTACCTTGTCCTATGAATTGATGTAATTCTAATTCAAGATACAAACATTGGGTTTAATTGTCATTTTTGTTGTTGTTGTTGTTGTTGCATTCCTTTGTATTGCCGGGTACCTGCCTAGACAAGTCTGAAATGTATTGTATCCTCCACAAATTACAAACCTAAAGGCACTCCCGTACACATCACGATTCATCAAATATTATGCCAATACCGTATTTTCCCCCCATGAAACCCGAGCAGAAATTTCTGACAACAAGAATTCACAATTGGGAATTCCATTGATCACATGAACCACAGAAAGAATACAGCTGGTGCCAGCAGCGCATTAAATCTTTATCAAGGACACTAAAATATCAATAACACAAATAATGACAGTCACTAGCTTTTGACTGCTGTAGCCACGAGTGGCTAGGCTATATATATATCTATCCATAACATACAAGCTTCATGAGAGATGGAGTTACAATTTTCCACCGAGCCACATTTCAACTAAAATCCCAAGAGATGCTGCCACGGATATGCGGGCTTTGCCTACCAAATCACTCTGAAGATGCATTTATTATCTCACACACACACACATTTCTACAATGCAGTAGATATTTTTACAGCTTTATACTCGCAATGTTAATCCACAAATTATCATTAATGCCAAATAGTCCACTTACTCTTTCAAATTCTTCAAGGTCCACCTCTCCGTCCCCATTGAGGTCAAACATTTTAAATGCAATTTCAAAATTCCTCTGTGGAGCTGTTGAAAAGGGGGAGAAAAATAATTACGCCGATTCAGCAGTGTATTTAAAAGCGACCTCTTGTTTTTGCAGATCATTCTGACAAAATGGATTTTTTAAAATTCTTTTACACAGTAATGGTGTGCAAGGTGAAATCACCACTTTTTTATGCCACACATCAACATGAAAAGTGCCGAAACGTTTGTAAAACTGTCAAGCGTGCTTTTTTGTTTTGTTTGTTAAAGATATAAAGTGATTGACTTACTGGACAAAACAGTTGTTAGGAAGATGTAGTCTGAGAAAGAGATCAGGCCACATTCCCCCAGCACATGGAAAATGCTGTCTTCATCCGCAAACATCTCCCGTTCGTGAGCCAGTTTCTGAAGCAGGCATCACACAACACCCATTAATCTGCCACCTACAAAAAGCAGTGCTAACGCAAGGAAGCACGGCTGTTCCATCAACGCACGACCTGCGAGCATTTAAGGTCAACCCGTCCCGTGGGATGCACACTTAAGAGAATGAAAAACCCCCGAAACATGCACGCGTTTTGCTTCTCTGATTGAATGTGCAGCGAGGTATATAATCTGGATGTGGTGGGTGTGAGCGGACAAAGATTGTGTCATACAAACCTGTTGTCTCCAATAACAAGATCAATCTAAATGGCCAGCAAGTGACTAAATGAAGTCATGTTGGTTACAGTGGTTCCTCACTAATATGAGACAGCTGTTTCACAAGCCCGCGCGTAATCCAAAACACGACATTGGAAAAACGGCTCTCCGATGTGTTTTCAGGTTGTAGCACGGTGTTGTTCGGGCATGATGTCCGAGGTTTCGCCTCCGCATGCCAGGAGCTTTATGCAGGAACTGAAGAAAACGTCGGAGATCATGCCGAATGGCGCAGTACAACCCGACAACCCACGAGGAGAGCTTTTATAAGCACAAGCGCAAAAACCTACGCAAGAGGGGAATGAGCGTTGGGAAATGTGTAAAATGTCTTATTGCCGTTCTCCCTTAACATTGCCATGAAGCATCAGTTTACAATCAGCCACCTATATCAAAATGTTACCTTATTTCTTGAACGTTGTTGGCCAGCCTGAAATATAGGATACATGCCTTTAGCGCCTCGCAAAGCCATCAGATGCTTTACCATTCGTCTGTATTACGTATATTATATATATAAAAAAAATAACCTCTCCTAGTCTCAACCTTTAAGCTGTCTATATATACTCAAATATTGTAGTTGGTAAGGCATCTTACAGAAATGCCTGCCAATGAATTTTTTTTCCATAAATCCTCTACGTATGAATATATATACTAAGCGTATATACATATATAGTCCCAACATGCAAGTACCGTAGAGTGTATGCCTTTCAAATAATGTTTTATGATAGACTTACGGACCAGATACAAATCCTAGAAAAGTCATGCAAAGGACACCGCTGGGAAAAAAAAGATAATATCTTGTCTTGAGCCACAAGATGAAAATATTGTGGACACACTAAAAATAAAACTAATTATATTTCAGCCAAAGGTCTCCAGCGACCTGTCGGTACAAACGTATGTGCGTTTCAAAGACCCAGGCAGCAACTGCCTACCAGAACCTAAATATCCAAGCAGTTTTTGAACACGCATAAGCATTCCTCACTGAGAATGTAAAATGATGACCGAGGAAGATGCATTGGACAAGTAAACCTTCTTGGGAGGTAGCTTGCCATTTTAACCATAAAACTAAAATGCACATCCTGGTGAGATACACTTTGACAACACTTTAGACGTAAAATCTCGAATAGGGTATGCATTCAAATCCAAGCGAGTGCAATCTTCGTGAATGCAGCTCAAGCAAGCGTGTAAGGAGACGTTGCGAAGCATTCTTGAAAGTGGTCTATGTGAAAAAAAATTGCAATAAATGTTTTACAAAGGCTTCTTACACTCGAGAGGATTAAGTTGATGACGGAGTCAAACTTGTAAGTGGCAGACGGGTAAATAAATGAATTCACATTTCGTAACGTTGAGAGCATTCGCTGTGCATGATTATATAAGCAGAGGGGGGGGGGGGGCAGCCACTGCTCACTGTAATTATAAATGGGATATGAGGCTCAGACGGACAAATATCACTCTACTGGAGACATGTGCATATAGAATGATGATTATGAAGCATTATGAATGTATAAAACAATAAGGATTACCATCGTGTGCTATTTGAGATTCTGTATCCAACGTTTGTAAACTAATCCCACTCAATACAAACCATTACCAAAGTCTATCATATTTCTCAGGGATTATTTCTCAGAGGATCATTTAACCCATGGCTGCTGGTGTGCAAAACCTCAGACACCCCTCATAAGAGCAGACCCTCGTGCAGATATGTCCAAACTGTGTTCGTTAAATTAGTAAAAAAAATTAACCCGTAAAAACAAAGTTTTTCACTATAAATCCTTTATATGCGTGACATCAGGGCGGCTAGAGTCCTCTCGTCCTCTGGCTTGAGATGGCTGCCACCTATGGGTCAGATGATTGTGTGCCAGCATTAACCAATTGGTAAATAAATATTTTAAAAAAATTCCCTAAACAGTGTAAAATTTTGGAAAAAAATTCTCATGAAAATTCACTGTCACGCACAACGAGTCTGTGTGCAAAATGTCAGCTCGATTGGATCACGGGAAGTGGGTTAAAAAACGACCGAAAGATTTGCACGGTCCTAAGCAAGCAAGCAAGCGAACTTAATATAAAGGATTTTAAAAAAGAGACTCTTCTTCAGAGAATTCCTTCGCGACATCATGGAGCCATCCACAAGAAAGACAATAAGCAGATATCTGCCTGGACACCGAGCCACCACCATGCACACTGTGGTCATGCCGCATTCAAAGTGCTCATAGATTACTGGGCAATTCGTATGCACTATTACTCTTGCACAGTAATTTTGTTAATTGCTGTGGTTGTCCCGCCTGATGACGGAAGCTTGTGTTGCTTCCCAAACGTCGTGAATTAATTTTAAAAAAATTTCACCTACGTGACTTTACAGAAAGAACCAAAGAGTTTGCATGAATGATGTTTGTCACAGGAGTGGCATGGCAGGTATGCCACATTGGAATATTAAATAAAACAAAAACATAGCCATCAAAACAGAATATATAATTATTATAGAATGTCATTTCCCTCCATTCCTTATCATCTCAGGTTGCACTATCACAACTTGCTATTAATATTTATGTAACTGCTCGGTGATTAATTGCAAATATAGCATTGAACAGCAGGGAAATCATTCATCAGGAGCTCGGTTTTTCTCAATACACAATGCGCGGATATACGCGTTCCAGCAAAAACAATGGTGCAGGAACAGAGCTGTTAAAAATAAGTCCTGGCATTTTGGGGAAAAGATAACGAGCAATCTTACAACACTGCCACTTGTCATTCACCAGTTTCCTGTTGATGCCGTCGCAATGTACATCTCCCAGAACGCATTTGAAGCCACCAAAAAAAAAAATCACCACAAGTCTGTTTCAGTAAATATTTCGGCCGAATGAAAATATATTTTTGTGGCGACATAAAACACCGCCGGACCTTAAATAATGTATACTGTGCCCATTTGCGTGAGAGCACTGTGCCCATTTGCGTGAGAGCACACACACAAATGTTCAAACTCGTCTAATGAGGAGCACACCAAATTCTGTCGCTGTGATGACACGGGTGGTGAAGAACACTGCAGGGGGCTCTTCTTCACTTGTAAACAATAAGACACGCTCCAAGAGCACACAATTCATCCTCGTATTACACCAGACGGGGGCACAATAACCTAAAAAATATCCAAGCATCTCTCTGCCGTTGACTCGCGTATAAATCCACTACCGCTTTGGGTTTTTTTGCATTTGCACGATTTGCCATTATTTTAAATGTTCGTCAGTGCAATTTTCCACATTATTATCTGGGGGTTTTCGGTCTTCCACTAGAATTGGGGCCGATCAAGATGACTCACCACACACCGTTCTGATTGAACGCACACATGTCCGATACAACTTATGAAAATAAATAAAAATCGTGACATTTTAAAAGCAATTTCGAAATTAAGTTCAGGGCAAATTACTGCTCACCCATATACAATCCATGATTAATAACACAAATGCAATATATGAAGTGTGTTCTGAATTTAGTTTAACGTATAAATATTTTATGTTTTTAACATACTGTATGCAATTTACCAGTCCTACCCAATTGGAAATGTATTGGACGATCCGTTGGATTGTGTTTAAACATATAAGCACTACAGAACATGTCAAATATGATTTTAAAAAATATTTAATAAATCGGCCAATGTTTCCGTTTTTGCAATTTATACTGTACCACTCCACTCATATAAAACCCCCGTTAATTAAGCACAGAACGTTTCAACATAAATTTAATTCAATATTTGCACAATGTTTTCCTTTTTAATGAACACATGGTATGCTGCTTTAATCTTCTGAATCTACTGGGGCGTTTTCCGGTCAGGCATATTGGCCCTTTAAGATCAATAACTACTTCCGTGTGAATGGAGCTCATCGTTCGCAAAGCACATCAATCTGGTAAGCATGAGCAGTTGGCTGAAGATCTTTGCAAACACACAAGATCATAGAATAAATTTAAGGTGAAATTTCACGAATATAATTTTTCCTTTCCCACCCCACCCCCACCATAAATGTAATGCCATTAGGAGCCCAGTTAAGCTGCATACATGCCATTTTCACCAGAACATGCCACCCACGCACCGTGCAAATAGAATTATGCCAGCAGCGCTTATACACGATTTCACGGTTCTTGCAAAGCATTTTGACAAAAAAGCCATAGTAATCTGACTATTTTAACGTAACACAACACAATGATAGCAATGTGGAACAAGAGCATGAAAAATACCCACATACATATTAAACCGCTGCAGAATTCATGACGGTTATTTAAAGATGTAAAAAATGCAGCCAATCATTTTCTTAAATACTGTAACTATAACGACCACCTACAGTGACACCATCCAGTTTTTAGTTTTTAAACCCACGAGCTTAAATGTAAGAGTAGTACCGTATTTATTTTACATAAATTGTACATAATGGATTCTTCCAAAAATATTCGATGCACATTACACGAGCCTAAGAATCAAAGTAATTAATTAATTTGTCACTACATGCCCAGTTAAAATATTGATTACATTAACTATACATTTATACATGTATACACTTAAAATAATGTCTGGTCGAGACTATGGTGAGACTAACATCGTTTTACGTTCTAATTTTGACGGCTCGTTTTTTGCCGCAAAGACTAATACAATTAATTTCATAATTGGTGTGTAATTCTGTGCACTTGATACGATTACCGTGTATTCACTAAAATACTGGGAGGATTAAAAACATAGAAGCCTATTCTATTTTTGACAGTGGGAGTTATTTCTGCAGCCATGACTAAGTGTTACATAGAAGCCAACCAACCACCTGTCTCAATCTGTCAATATTTGTCCCAACAGCCATGCGGTTGTAAAGATGGCAGATCCTTTCTGTGTTCATCATTTCGCAGCTTTGTAGCTTGCATGAATGGATGCATGCACACGTCTTGCCAGTGCTTAAATTGTAATCTTAAACCATTTTACACCACCGAAACCCTATCCTGTACGGTTAGCCACCATCTTTTGTTTATTTACGGCATGCACTCGTAATTGATTGCGTTGTATGTTTAGGTCTCTGACAGTTCCAAAAATAAAAAATAAACAGAATGTGTGGTGTGCTGGAACCAAAACGGTTAGATAAAATTCAATAGCAATATAACACTGAAGGAAAAAAACACGGAATGAATAGTCCACTCGGTTGAAAGAAAGACCTTGATGCTACTTGAAGGTCAAAAGCGGTTTCCCACCCACACCCACCATGAACAATGAATGAAAATACAAAGCACATTTCTCAGAGAAAAGAAACATGTAACTATATTTACCCAGCATTCTGCCGAACACATTTTTGTTTTAAAAAGCTAAAAATGTATATTTTAAAAGAGTCATCCACTGTTCGTTTTGCCACAGTGCTTGTCGTTAACTTAATATATTAAAGGCACGATATTGAAAAAGGTATTTACCAG